TGGCCATTTGTAATCGCCGACGTAACCCAACCCATCATAGGAATTGACTTCTTAACTAAATTCAACCTACTGGTGGACGTTAAAAACAATTGACTAATCGATGGAGTCACGCAACTAAAGTCTCCTGGTTGCTGGCAGAACCGACCTACAACTGTCACTAACATCACCACTGTGACTAATGACTCTCCCTACCACCGTATCATGGCCGAGTTCACTACCATCACAAATCCGTCGATAATCCCCGAAACCAAGAAAACACCAACCACCTTTCATCACATCGAGACTAAAGGACCACCTATCTTTTCAAAACCCAGACGATTATCACCACATACGCTCCAAGCAGCACAGGAAGAATTTCGGTTCTTAATGTCCCAAGGCATCATCAGACCATCCAAAAGCCCCTGGGCCAGCCCACTACACATGGTCAAGAAGGCAAATGGCCAGTGGCGACCATGCGGCGACTACCGTTGTCTCAACACTGTAACAGTCCCTGACCACTACCCTGTTCCTCATATACAGGACTGTACTCAACTCCTAGAAGGCAAAACCACAAAACCATTTTTTCAACCCTGGATCTAACCCGCGCCTATCACCAAATACCGGTCTTCCCCGAGGACATTCCGAAAACAGCCATAACAACCCCGTTTGGCTTGTTCGAATACATCTATATGCCTTTCGGTCTACGAAATGCTGGTCAAACCTTCTAGCGATACATCCACCAAGTCCTACTTGGCCTCGACTTCTGCATCCCGTATTTCGACGATATATTGGTCGCGTCCAAAGATGAAAACGAACACACAGACCATCTCCGCCAAACGTTCCTCCGCTTGCAAGAGCACGGCCTAAAACTAANCTATGTATTTTCTCATGTAATCTGTAAAATCATTGTAACGAAAGCAATGCAGGCACCCATGGTGCCTCCCATGCCTTCTCTTCACACTATTCTCTCTCCCTTTCTTTTCACACTTCGATCTCATGCTTTCTCCTTCTTTCCTACTTCCCACAGAGCAAAGTCCGTAGCTACAAAAAACGGATAGCTCTCTTACCTCTTTATCTCAATGTAAGTTATACAACTGAATAAAATATTGCCATTTAATAATAATTCTGTCATTATTCTCACCCATCTTTAGAACTTTAAGATCAGCCAAAAGATTTCTCATCAATTTCAACATATGAGCTGCATCAAGAAATGCATAAACTTTAATTTCTTCTGTTGAAGTGTGATAACTTCCTCTGGATATTCATTGCCTACATTACCAAAAAGCAGATTTTTTAATGGGCTGCTTCAACATCTCTTAAGTTATTTTCTATCATTATAGCATCAGATTTAGAAAGCATTTCTCTGAGCCTTTAAATAATGTTTTTTGAATTGACAATCTTATTTGAGTTTCTTTTATTAGACTGTCTGCTATATTTAAGTTTTTTTTTATAGCTGTTCACATTTTTGTCTTGTTAAAATTAACATTTCATGCACCTTCTTTGCAGATAGCAAACAATGTGTGATCACAAGAGACTGATACTTCATATTCTTTGCAATTTTTTTCTTTACAGGCTTCTGAAATATGGTCTTTAGTTGTTCATTAAGCCCTTTCTCAAGAAGGGATTCGTCAGTGAGTGGAAACCCAACAAAGAAAAAGTTTTATTTTAAATTTCACTATCACATGAATGAAATCTGATTTAGGCCTACTTATCACTGATATTAACAACTCTAAAATTCATAGTTTGATATGTATAAGGTTTCTATCCAAAACATTTCTAATTATTTAAATTTTGATAAATTAGACAGCATTTTAAAATAAGTTCGACACTTTTTGTTTATTTTTATTAAATTAATCTTTAAACATTTTATTAGACATACTGTATAGTTTGAGCAAAATTAATTTTGCTCATACTATACACTTATACAGTTATAATTTACTTGTGAAATGAAATTCCCAAACCTTTCTTGTAACTGTTGGTACAATTGATAGCAGCACAAAAATTTGGCATGATTATTTCTTACGATATGCTTCTGTGAGAGTTCGAATGCCCCCTTTTTGATTAAATCTATTTTAACAGCAATATTAAAAATTAAAGTAATATTTTATAAATTAGAAAGAAAATTAGCCACAGAAATTAAGGAGAGAAAGAAAGGAAGTTCACTTCCTTCAAAAAGTAGTTAGTCAACCGATGACTACATGTTTAGATCATTGTCAGATGATCTTTAGGCTCGATCTCCATTGGAGGAGAAAATTAGTATAAAATAAAGATACGCACTAAAATCAGGGCCCTTCAGTTCTTCAGCACCTCAGTATGTCTTTGTTTAACCAAGTGCCATAGTTCCTCATACAAGTAACTTCCTTCCAAGATATTGAATCGCATAAGTCAAGTTATCACAGAGGTAATATAAAATAATATAATTTGTAAATCGTATCTCTCAATCTCTAGGGATCTAGTTTAAGGTATAATTATTCATGTTTAAGCTAGATGTTATTTAGTTTGTTCATTTGTAGTCTTGTTCATCCATTAAATTATTTGTTAATGGGACTGGAATCTAGTTTCCTCGAACTCCTATCACTTACTCACTTGTCTCCCCACTCAAAACGAGACATCCTATTTGAAAAAATAGATGAATCGCGAGTTAAACCGCGCAATAATAGTTTAACTGGTGTCAACCTCCTGACGTGGATCTTGATTTCACAAATCTAGATCCTTATTACTGCTCATAGTTAGCCATACATTAACGTTAGAGATCAGATCTCACGATCTTTTGCAGATGAAGTGGTCATTAGGATTTGCCCTAGAACCCCTGCTTATCTCACACTTTGCTATTAACCAATGAGATAGAACCCACCGAAACTTGTCATGGCGTCCTTCTCTTCAATCAGCTTCAAAAAGTGGCACTGTAATCACTGCTACTGGCATTCTGTTATTCTATCTCATTGATTGATTCTCATTAAAGTGGCTAGAAAATATAGTGTCGGAATTGAGCTTATTTTCTGTCCCTTTATTGGAGGTTTCCGCAAGAGGCGCTGCTGTCAATCGTTGTGCTACACTGGCTGTATCATCCTATGTTTACATTGGTTTTAAGTGGGATTTTTAAGCAGAGTAATGTGCTGTAGCTAAGTAAAAGAATTTAGATTGCTTGTGATATGATTTATTATCAATCAGTTATTATATACTATTATTTTATTAACATTTATACATGAAGGAATTCAATTTTATTAATGCTAATTAAGATTCTTTTTAAATCAAATAGTCTACACTGTATTATCTATTTTTACATTACAACCAAGGCAGCAGAGTCAGTAAAAAAAAAACTCTCATCTGACTACTGATAATTTTAGTAGGCTGACTGACAAAATTATATACCAAGTCATTTTATGTGGGCAGAGGTGCTCATAGGATGTTACGCTACTCTGAACTCTAAAAGGATCCCCGGGCATTTACACAAATATTTTTATAGCTAGTATTTTTAATATTTAACAAATGTTTAATAAGAGGAGAAAAGGGGGTGACAAAATTCTACATCTACACATCTTTATTCTACAACATTTGGACTTCTATTTCACCTTTTTGGAAAAGTTAGTCCAACTAAAATGTGTACGATCTAGCTACTTCAGCCTCTTGTTCAGAAAATAAATATGTATACCCTGATCAATTAGTCTGGCTCATTCAGAAAAATAGAGTACTTATTTAAAGCAGGGATAATAAAGGAATGAATCAAAAATATTCAAATTCAATTGGGTCAAAATAATTTAACTACTAAACAAATGCTACGAAGAGAAGTATTGATACCTCTTTAATAAATTAAATTGTTGCATTTTGTATTTTNTTGTTGTAAATTATTGGTTGTTATAGCTTTTTGTACATTTCTTTTTGAACTCTGGTTAGTTTTTTCTAGTTTGAATGACATTAGGTTGACGAATAAACGTCTTTTCAGAAAAGATTGATTCAAATTCGACTATACCAATCAGAATCTAAAATGTAAACAAATGCTAAAAAATCGTTATTTTCATGGTTTTTCAGCGCTATTTTCACTTATTTTTGTTATTTGACGCTATTTAGACAAATAAGCAAGTTTTCTGAAGCATAAAATTGAAGATTTCCCGCTAAAATAGAAACTTCCTGATAACATCGGAAATGACGTTCTAACATCATTTTATTCTATTTGATTCTTCAAAAAATCGTTATAATACTATGTATTAGACTTAAAATATTCGATATCTAGACCAGAAAGTGTTAGCTAGAAATACTTATTTATAGAACAACTCCCCATTTCTCACTTCAGGGAAAGTTATAAAACAGTTGGGGGTGCTAATGACTTTGTGAAAGGGAAAAGTTCTATACTTAGAAACTTGGAAATAAGGGATTTGGCCTGTACCGTCCGGCGGGCCGTATAAACATTGACAAGGGGCCGTATGTGGCCCGCGGGCCGCAGGTTATGCACCCGTTTTATTAAACTACAGGTTCACTGAGCACTAATGGAACAGACAGGCAAATCAAGTGGATAAACAAGTTGTTTAGACTGTTAATTAAAGGGACATCAGTGTTTACACTGGAATATTTTAAAGCAAGTTTTTGTCGTTTCTTGTTTCTTGTGTTAATAATTTACAGCAAATTGATTAACATGTGCCATTTTATAATGAAAGTTAGATGTACCCCTTTGATTTACGCTCGTACCTCTAAGAGTACATGTACCCCCGGTTGAGAACCACTGATTTAGAGTACAAGAGTAATCTACACTTGTCATTACCAACAAGGTTTATTCATATTTACTAAAAAATACACAATTTATCATATTTTTAATAATAAAATGTAACTTTTATATGGCTTTGTGAACCTATTCCACTGTGAGGGCTTTGAATAGAACTTATTAGGCAAATTCTATCGGCTACATAATACTGTACGAGTATACTGTTCATACGGTATTGTGTGACATAGTATAAGCATGTTTTATTGGTTTGTTTCTGTAAATAATGATTTCCTTCGTTAGATGCTTTTACATAAGCTCTGCTTACCTTGTTTTTATAATTATCAGGAATAGAAATTCTCTTATTTTTTTGTCTAATTCTTCTCCATCTTCATCAAGTTCATTCATTAATTGAACACATTCATGCAGTTTAAGCATTTTACTATCTTTTAAAGTTAAAGATGATGATATACCTGGGAATACTGACTTTTGCTTCTTTTGGTGGTACTTTTTCAAGTTCAAGGTAGCTTTGCTGTATTTCTTTGCTAAAGCATTATGTTCATCATATTCTTTTTGATATGCCTCCTCTAATTTATTAACAATATCTTTATATTTTCTATTCTTTTGTATTGAATTACTCAACATTATGCCTTTACAATCCGATTCATACATTTTAGAAAATAAAATAACAAATAATGAGCGGAATTGTTGTTTTTGTTCATTTGAAGCATCTAAACTGTCTATTTTATCAATTAATTCATTCATAAAATCAATATATTGTTTAGCTGTTTTAGCAGTAACTTATTGTTACCAATTGCTAAAATATCAAAATTGATTTTAGATAAATCTTGAACACTTAACAGTATTGTGAAATGTTTTTATTGTTGTTATTCTTTGGTTTGCCATTTAATATATAAATATTTTGATTGTATTCCTTTCTATTTACTGATTGCTAATTACCTTTCTGTTTTTCCTTTTACTTTTTAAAATATATAAATGGATTCAGTAAAACTTCGAGTATTTAAGGCTATGGGATTTTGAAAATAAAAGTGAAAAGGCTTTTGCTGAAACGTATAAAGTCAGTGTAAGAACAATTACATTAAAAAGCATAATGTTAATTATGAAAAACGTGTTTGGTGTTAATATTACACAAGATAAATTTGGCAGATATTCATTAAGTAATCAAGACTCAAATAACCAAGTGCATGATAAAGTAAGTCCCTTAGATGCTAATAAAACATAAATGAAGATTCCTAAGAATCCAAAAGGTTATATTGATAAGGGTAATAAACCTACCTTGAAGCATAAGATAGCATTACTGCTTAATAAATTTAAATCTATTCAAAAAGATCCAAAAGGATTTTGAAAATCCTTTGAAACAACAAGGTCTCACTTATCCAGAGAAAGTAAAATGGATTGAGACTGCTTTGAAAATGTAGACCTTTGATCGAAGATCAATTTGTGTTAACCCTTAAAGATAATAAAATAAAAATATTTTCTACTTTAGTTGTGGAAACAAAAGACAACAGACCATTATCAAAATACAAAATTATATTATGAAAGATACTAAATTCCATGATGATTTTAAACCAATTTTTTCCAAAGAAGGAATTCGTACTTATGAATTTAAAGTTTACGAAAACTAGTAGAAAGGGAACTAATTTTATAGATATAAACAGTATTACAACAATCAAGTCTCAACAATCAACAATTGATGGTACAGTAAGGACACGCCAATGGATGAGACCTAGTGGGTGCCATGACTGCAGTAACTCCCCGCACATCCGTGCCAATATTTTTCACGATTCCATAGGCAACACGCTGAGGTGAGATTATTTCGGAAATAAGGTCTATCAATAAAACTTCGTTCTAATGCTTTTTAGCAGATCGTGCATTCTAAAAGGCATAACATGAAGTACCTAAGCTCTAATCTACATTCAAACATTCTAACAAAACTGAACAAAATGACCGTTAAAAAACATGAACTATTAAGGTCCATGTCCACAATAGTGCCACATGCGTTTGTTATGCTCTTGTCCAATGGAGTGTCCTCTATCAATGTAAAATTTGCTATATTTATGCATTGATAACATCTACATTATGGAAGGAGCAGAAAGTCTTTTACAAATATTTTTGTTTCTTTTCAGATTGCTACTTTGCTACTTATCATTGAATATTAAACCCCGATGCATAAAAGATGGCTGGAACCAGTTTAAGGTATCTTTGTGTGTAACCATTCTGTTTCATAAAATAGTATAAAATAATCTTATGTTTTTTTAAATGTGTGTTTCATTTTCCAGCGAACCAGTTACGGTGCATTTACATATACCAGACAGCGTAGAAATGATTCGGGCATCCATTCTGTTCACAAAACAGTTACCAATCAAATGTGTATCTGTGAACAAGAGGCCTTCCTTGACGACACTGAATAGATACACGATATCAAAAAAAAAAAATGCCTATTCTGACTTTTGAAAAAGATTCTACACAGTTTCAACTTCAGAGCGGAACCTTTAACAAATCCGAGACGGTGTTTTTTCCAGGGTTAATAGATCCAATGTTCAGAAATGAATTCTCGGTAAGAGAGGCTGTTTCAAATAACATTTTACAACCTTTGAGAACTATCTTCAATGCTGGCACCACCACCTTCGAAGTAGAGGGTGAAATGTGTATATCCAGCACACAAGGTTTCCAGGCCATTTCTGTCTGCTCAATTCTGAAGGAGAAATCTGTCTCATAATGGAATGTAAGCCATGGGACTACTTCATGGATTTGGACTACAACAAGTCGAGTGCAAACGCAGTAAAGCAAGCACTAAAAACGTGCTGATCCAAGTGACCGCATCACAAATTCTACCTGCATACTAAGCTACATTCCGAAGACAGCCATGGCTGATGACACTTGTAATTTCAAAGGTGCTATGAAGCAACTTGCGGCATATATGTTGTCTTTGAACAATCGGAAAGCTTTTGGGATATTGACCACGTACTGCCATACGTACTTCGCCATTCTGGAACATTCTGACAAAGGTCGTCCTACATTGAAAGTGTTGAGAGCTGTGAGATACAGTGAAAATGATGTTCTGGAACGAGTGTTTAAGTTTATTGAGTTGGCAGTCAGAACTCCCGTTGTTGAAATGAAGGACAAGAACAATAGTACCAATGTGTCACCCGTACAGATAGGCAAAAGGAAGGCTGGACAGTGCCAAACAAAAGCATCGTTTAAGAAAGGAGACAGAACGAAGCGACTAAAAGGGAATGAAGACTCCAAGAATGGAAATCCTGGAAATAGTGGAAGTAGTCCAAAGAAGCGGGCCGCTTACGGTGATTACGTCATAGACGGCATCATAGGAGAAGGAAAGAGTGGCCGTGTCTTGCGGCTTGTTGACCGAAATGGTTGCTCATTTGTAGCTAAAACAATCGGGGAGCTTAAATACAAATCAAAAATGGAAAGGAAAGAAATCACCTCTGAACTGCAAAACAAAATAGCAATTTATGAAGCATTGAAGACTTGCAAGGCAGGGTCTTGCCTCGATTGCACTTTGAGGCTTATTTAGATTGTACAAGGTACTCTCTGATAATGGATGAACTAAACGCCGACCCACTATGGACACGACATCAAACGGAAGATCAAAAGAGAGCAATTCTTGCTGTTCTGCATCAGATCCACGAGAGGGGGATTTTATACGATGACATTAGGAAAGAGAACATTTTATTAGACCGGAAGGATAAAAAGAGAGTATACTTCATTGATTTTGCATTTTCATCAGTGTGTGATGTGCAAGAGGAATTCCAGGGAGAAATGGAAGAGCTCAGATCACTTCTAGAAATGGATCAGGAGCCGAAGTCTTTCAAGACCTTGCACAAACGCAAGAAGAATAAAGAATGAAAACACAAAGTGTACTTGTGGTATAACATTTTTTGCTAAACATGCTTCTGATCATGTTGTATTTTTTTGAGAAATTAAATTCATGTTTTTGGGAAAACTATGGTCTGCTTGCTTTTAATGTTTTCAGGTAAAGAGTGCATTTGGGAGATGTAAAATGTAGATGTTTTTTTGTAATGCTTTTATCATCTCCCACTGAGGTAGTGTCCATAAATAATATCAATGTTTTGTAGTAAAAAATGTGGGATATTTAAAAAAAATCAGTGAAAAAAGTCTCAAAGATGGGTAAAAAAGATTTAATATATATATTTATTTATTCTGTAATTTATAATATTTTGATTTATCTATTGTTAGGTTATATAAGGTTATATATTATTGGTACTTACTTATTTTCTTCATCATTATTCATAGTACCTCTCTACTTCCCATCGTGTCTACATCAAAAAATCTGAAAATTTTTTGTCCAAAATGTCAGGTCCATTAATAATAAATTCATGTTCCTTGCCTCGATTCTAAATGATTTTTTATGATTTATTTATACTAACGGAAAGTTGGATTTCACCAAATTCTGATTCTGTGTTGAATTTTATTAATAATTTAGGTTATTTGCATGTTGCGTTATCTTGTAATATTGAACAGAGTGGTGGAATCCTTTCGATTTCTCCTCTCACTCAAACATGTTAGTGTTCGAATATCTCAATTCCATCCTTGCCGTCAAACTTTCTGTTTATAATCTAATAATCATGTCAATCTACATCCCCCATAATAAGAGAGATTCCATTTTTAAAATTTTACATAGATATCTCATTTCTCTTATTGATTCCCAAAATATAAAAATTATCTTTTTAGGCATATTGAAATCTCCACTTATCTGAAACTCTAATGGCCCATACTATTTCTCCCTTGATCGGACTGAACAATTTTTTCTTAATGAAATATTCTCTTTTTGACATGACTGTCTTGTTTATAAAATCGTACTGACAGTTTATGTTACCAGCTTAGAGGTATGAAGAGTACATGTCGAGAGTTGATATTTGGCACAGAGTATTTGGCACAGGTGCCCAAATCATATGCGCATAAAAAAAATCCAGACTCGTAGGTAGTCGGGGGACTGAGAACCCAATCAAAATAAAATACAAAATGGCAACCCTCTTCTACAGGCACCCCACCCCACCGAAGTCAGTTACGTGCGGCTAGAGATCCAGATGGCACAACGCGCTGATTGGTCAGCTGAATGACGTCAACCCACTGAAATAGGAAATGCTGGTCGATTAGCCTAGACCTCATATTGTTGTTGTGAGAGGGAACAGCTATTTGTAAATTGATTTTTCACTTGTGAGTTTTCTTTTCAAATATAAATTTAAATAAGTGTGCATTCGAAATGTTTCCTTGCAACATTTGTGACAAAGAGTACAAGGCAAAGAAAAGCTTAGACATCAACGTCTTTTACACAACGTTGTGACTAGGGATTGCAATCCAGCAGTGTTTTCAATCCAGCTGGATTTTTGCTGGTTCAACATCATTCCAGCTGGATCCAGCGCAGATGTATTTTTGGTGCAATAAAGTGTTATCTATCTATCTATCCAGTAATTTATGGTTTTTTTAAAGAAATAAAACATTTTTTAAAATACTTAAGAAACTTTTATTATTTAGACTGGTCACTATACATTAAATCAGTAAAACTTCTTACACATTTAGGTAGTAAACTTAACTTTGGTTCGGTTTAACACTTGAGATAGAGATAATTACAGTCAACCCACCTATAATTACGGTCCCTATAATTACAATTCCTATAAAACTACGAAAAAATATACGTATTTTGGAAATGTTGAGTCGGATTAGTGTAGAATCGATTAATTTTATGGAAGAAAACCTTTCAATCAGCCGTAGTCCGTAAACTTGACACGTGTCGGGCTGTGATTGGAATGACTTGTAAGAAATCGGATTCCTAATAAATTGGAACGTATCT